CATAGTGAGACCCTGTCTCTACCAAAAAAAAAACAAACAAAAAAAGCCAGTGTGGTGGTTCACACCTGTAGTCCCAGCAAGTCGGGAGGCTGAGGCAGGAGAATTGCTTGAGCCCAGGAGGTTGAGGCTGCTGTGAGCTGTAATCACACCACTGCACTCCAGCCTGGGTGACAACTGACCCAAAGAAAAAAACTTAGTATTTGAGTAATTCTGTTTGTTCTAAAAATCAAAAAAAAAAAAAAAAAAAAAAAAAAGTGAATTGTAGTACCAGCTACATTTATAGAGCCCTTTGTCTTTACAGTCATGGTGCTAAAGTCTCTGATCTCATTTAATCCTTACAACCACCCTCACAATGCTCTGTCCATTTTACATATCGGAAAACTAAGACTCAGGTTAAGAGAGACTTGTTGAAGGTCACAGCTAGTAAGCTGCAGAGAACCAGAAAGTGAATCTGGGTTGACCTTGACTCTAAACAGTTTGCTTTTAACAACTATACTCCTTTGAACATATTTACCCTATTTTCTTCATTAAGTAAAATGCTTTCTGTGTCTTAATTTTCAGAATCTCTAATAAAACATTTTGCAGAACATATTTTCTAAGTATCCCTGATCCCCACAAACCAGGCTTTCTTCCCTAATCTTTTAGTCATTGCAAACATGTAATAGATGCATGCTGAGTTTGTGAGCTTGGCACCACACATGACAGGCTTTGGTTAGGGAATTCAGCTACAAGCAACCAAACCCTCAGAGCCAAAGCCAGGGGTGCTAGGACCCCTGGCCCTGCAGTGGCCCTGATATGGCCTTTCCATCCCCACAGTTACTGGGACAAAACGTCCTATGCTTTCACCCTTATGTGGCTCCAGAGGTAGGATTTAATTTTTTAAAAATCTGCAATACTGCAGCAGAAATGTAGTTATGAGTCAGGGATGTGTACGTGTGTGTGTCTGTGTGTGAAAGCCAGTCTCTCAGCACCAGCTAAAAATGTGAAGCAGCAAGTCTGTGCTGGGAATTGAGGACACCATATGCTTGTATTTCTAGGTCTTCCTAAGAATTATATAACTGCCCCCAAAGCCAGGGGGCAGGAGCAGGGCCAGCCGTGGGAGACGTTTCCAAAGAGGAATGCTGAGGAAGGACTGACCTTGAGGAGACAGGGAGTTTGCCAGGCTGTGGAATGTTCCCAGCCTTGGGGCTTAAACAAAAACTGTATTCAGAGGGTGAGTGCTCTGTTGAGAACAAACCCTATCTGTCTCCTGCTTTGTCTCGGGGCTTCTCAAGGTGAGCCCTTTCTCTGCAGGTTCTGGATATTGAATTTAGAGGTGGGCACAGCTGCCAGAGCAAGGCCCTGGTAATCCTCCCAGCCATCTCTAATTAGCCGACTTCAGGGATCCCCCCGCGCGCCGCCCTTCTCCGGAGTCCTGAGGGTTAGGCAGAGGGGAGATAAAAGCTCTCATCTATTCATAGAATAAGGCTGCAGAAAGGCATCCTGGGAGGAGAGCTGTGGGAGGGAATACAACCAATCAACAAAGGTTTATCAAGGGCTCACCCTGTGGTCACCCTTGGGGGAGGGAGGTATCTGATTGGCCCCATCCTGCTGAGGGCTTCTTTACAGTATTCTTTCCTAGAAAACATCCTCCCCACCATCCTCGCTCCCCGCTCCAGATCTTACTTGACTAAAGCCCATTATTCTTACAGGCCTCAGTTCAGAGGCCTAAAACCCAGAGCAATGTTTTTCAAGCTGTGGGTCATGACCCATTAGTAGCTTGTGTAATTAATTTAGTAGGTTACATCGAGCATTACTGTCCCCCATACCCTCCAAAAAAACAAAAACAAAAAGAACAAAGGAAATAGAAAAGAAGCTATCTGAGCACACTGGACACCATGAAGTTAAGTGTTGTTTCAGTTATGTGTATACTGGATCATGATATAAAAAGCCAAATTCTTACTGGTGATTGTGATTAAAAAAAAAAAAAAAAAGATTCAGAAACTCCTGACTTAGAGGCTGCGTCTGTCCGTATCCTTCTCACTGCAAGTGTCAGAACCCCTGGCTCAATCTAACTTAGATGAGGAGGACATTTATTATCTCACTTAAAGGGAAGACTAGAGGCGTTGCAGGCCCCAGGGTGGTTAATACAGTGGCTCAACCCTGCCACCAACAGTACCATGCCTTCACAGTGGGTTTTATCCTCAAACTGGTAGTAAGATGGTTACAGAAGCTCCATGTCATATCCAGAGAACACTCAGTGGGAGGAGAGACAAGAGACTAGATCTTTTCATGTCTCTGAGGAGTGAAGAAATTTTTCTTGGAAGCCCTCTGGCTGAATTCACTCTCTCAGTAGAGAATTGGTCACAACTGTATTCCTAAATCCATCACTGGCAAGGGGGTATAGGAGTCTCATGAGTAGATGAGACTGAGCAGGAGATCCCCCTGGAGCTGAAGGTGGGAGAGAAAGGTGGATACAAAGGTGATCAAAAAGTAGGACCAAATGATAGAATGGGAGAAGATGCTTGCAATGTCTAAAACTGACTAATATCTAGAATACACAAGAAATTCCTACAAATCAGGAAAAAGACAACAACCCCATAGAAAAATGAGTAAAAGATATGAACATGCAATTTATAGAAGAATTAACCCTAAAATCTTACAAAATATGATAAAATGCTCAAAATCATTGTTAATCATCAACAATATGAATTTAAATGAGACTTTACATACATTAGACTGAAAACAATTATTAATAGAAACCTGTGAGATCTGAGAAAAGTGGAAAAAAAAAAAAAAAAAGGAAAAAAGGCCAGCTGGATAATTCCAGTGATTGGCAGGGTGTGAGGACATGGGAACCTCACGCTGCTGGTGAGACTGTGGACTGGTGCAGCCATTCTGGAGGGCAGTCTGGTCTTCTTGGTGAAATTATGTAAATGAATATATCGTGTGACCCACAGTTCTGTCCCAGGGGAAATTCTCACAAAGCGAGGATGTTCCTGCAGTCTTATTAGTGGTGGAAGGGAGTTGCCCACCACTTGAGTGTTAATTATTGTGGAAAAGAATAGGCCAGATGCGGGGCGGGCACACAAAAAGCACTGTGCAGCAGTTAGAAGCAATGGATCAGGAGTACTCATAGCAAAAAAAAAAAAAAAAATCTACTTGGTGGTTATGAGCTTTATTGAAAGTCATTTTCTGTTGAACATGCATACTGAGATGTATAATGGGTGAAACAATGTCTGGGATTGTCTTAAAATACTTCTGAAAGAAAGAAGTAAGGATGGAGTAGAGAGACTAGATAAAACACAGTTGGCAAAATGTTGGTAAAATTGTTCAAACTAGGTGATGGCTACATGGAGGTTTGTGATATTATCTTCTCTACTTTTGTGTACCTTAGAAAATTTTTATGATAAAAGTTTAAAAGTACATAGACACACACACAAAACAATACCCATGTTGCAAGAACACATTGAAGTAAGAAGATAAACATTAAAATGGTTGGTTACCTTTTAGGAAAAGAAAGGAAGAAGAGCTGAGTGTAGTGCAAAAAAGTGAAGAGTGCTGGCTTAAGAAGCACGTATGCTAAAATTGGAACCACACAGAGATGACCATGACCCCTGTGCAAGGATGCCGTGCAAATTCATGAAGCATTCCATATTTTTATAAGTAAATAAAT